TCAGTGTCTGATCGCAAGACGTATGTACATGTACTTTAGAAGTGTTCTCCCTGTTTCATTGTTGTTTTCAGTCATAGTTAGTATTTCGTATGTTTCCTGTAAGGCTGTTTTTGGAGACCAATTTGCTCCTCCTTTATCTTTTTGTGACAAGTCCGTTATTTTGTATCCTGGTTTTGGGACCACCAGTAAAGATCAATGTTTCACCATCTCTGCCTACTACCTACTGTCTATCCTGCACCGCACCTGGGTCACACCTCACACCAACCCTTACACATTTCCATACTAGCTAGGAAATGTACTATAGAAAAGCAATTATGTATCATCATTATCCATTTAGCTAGCTTTGGTCCATGGATAGTGGCTGGTTAGTTAGGCTACTAGCTAGCTAGCCATAATAAACAACTGGTTTATCTAGCTATTATTTACCACTGACACTGACATGGTTGTTATGACAGGGCAGGGCAGCTTCTGTAGCGCATAACTGTAAGTCGCTTTGGATAAAAGCGCCTGCTAAATGGCATATTATATTATATTATATATATTTATACTTTGCTAATAAATACTGTACAGTGTTGCTAGCTAACGTTAGCAGTAAGTGCAATGACATCTTGACCGACATAGTCAAAAGTTGTCACCTCGTAGCCTAATGTTAGTTAGCTGAGCTGGTTAGCTAGAGTTAGCGAGAGAAAACCACAGGTTCATAATGCATGCCAAAGAAGTTGGTTCAGAATCTCTGGGTGCATTAGTAAAGTATATGCCATGGGGGATCTTGTGCTAAGAATGAATGAACTTACAGTTCTTCCGATGTCTCTGGCAGCTATCAACCTGCACAGACCCCAGGATCAATGACTGCAAAGCGTGAAAACAGCAACTTGACAGTCTGTTAGGTGACCGGTTGCTAGCAACACCCTCTTGGCAGTCGAACCAGGAAGTAGATCAATTTGATGAGCATCCCAGTAAACCAATCAAAACAGAGATTAGAGAGGGTTGTCCAATCATGATCGATCCTATTTTATCTTCGAGCGTGACTGCGCACCGCTTACCTCAGACCGACCCTCTATGTGTGCAGGTAGACTACTGTGTAGTAAGACCATGTCCATGCGCGGTGGTCTATTTGTGTCAGAGGCCGGTTTAACAGATGCTGACCTTGTCAGGGCCAGTGTGCATATAAGCAGTGATGATGGTTCTTGGACAGCATTTGTTTCAGCACCATGGACAGATCACCTTTTTTTTTTTTACTGTGCATGACAACGCACACTGTTTTCAGCACCATGGACAGCAACTTTTTGTTTTTACAGTCTGTCTATGGACAGAACACACGCATGCGTGCACGCTCGCACACACACACACAGACACAAACACACACACACGGCACAATTGTCATCTAATGAGTTCTAATATACTCCTGGGTCAACAAAAGACACGGTGCAACACGCACGCACGCACGCACGCACACATTTGACCATGATTAGTAATGTCAGTCTAAATTCCATCCACCACAGATAAATAGCTATCATTTTTAGAAAATATATTTGCTCTGATTTGATTATATATGATTAGCTCCCCATGTCCAAATGATTGTCAATTAATTGTGCATATAAATGAGGTACTTAGTTATTCTACAGTAAAATGGGCAATTAAATTGCTAATTGTAGTTTCATTTTAAACTTTAATTGGTAACCGGATAACAGTAGATTAAGGAATAGCAGTAGGCTAATAATGTACAGTAACAACTGAGACTTTCAGGATAAAGTTGTTTGACTTTACTGCTCATCCCTGTTAGAAAAATACAACATGCTTGTTGTTATAACATAATGGTGTAGACTAATAAACTACGTTGCATTGGGTAAAAGAGGAATTTTTTTCCTTGATTTTAAAAAATAACAATGCATAATAATATGGGAGTATCTGTAGGTATATGCAAAACCTGAAATGCTCCCATTTTGTATGGTCCCACTATCTATAGGATGCCAAGCCTATGATAACTTGAGAAACTTTGCAATTGACTCACCATACAAGAAAACCTTTAATTCACTGTAACTGATGCACTTTAGGCCTACAACAAAGATAGAAGGTGGCATTTTCTTATTCTGTTTTGAACACATATTATGGCTATCAACCTTTTTACAGGGTAGATTGAATAAGAGGTAGACACCATCTAGTTTTTTCAAGCACTTCCTGCAAATACAATACTGTTTAAAAACAATTTACTTGAGTAACCTAGTCTCATATAGGATCTAGGCTTAGGCTAACAACTTCTGAAATTCCACTGAGCAGGAATACAGCAAAGTCTGCATTTACAAAACATTAGATTTTCCATGTCAGTATAGGTGATTTTATATGCTCCTAAAGTGTACTGTTGTAGCCTTAGTTCATTCAAGTCAGAGGTAAATAGGGATTGGATGATCTATGGGTGATGAACAATAGTGTCCTCTAGAGGTGAGTGCAACCATGAAGTGTTGTTAGGGTTCTCCCCCCACTGTCCATCAGTTATAACTATGTTATGACTATAACAGAGTTCACTGATCATGGACTATGTGTGTTCATAATTCCATGGAAATATGGACTTAGATTAGCAAATAGGTTATGTGTTAGTAAGTATAAGACAATTGAATTGTTGGCCTAGGCCTACTAATTTCCCTCCCAAAGCTGCATAAATTTGTCCCAGAATATCCACCCCCTATCATCATTAGCCTCTGTGGCTGATCCATGCTACTAAAATAAACAGCTGTGGAGTAGGCCTACACTCTTAGAAAAAAGGGTTCTATGCTTGCTTCATATATGGCACCCCTTAAGGTTCTTCTATTCCATAAAGAAAGGGTTCTATATAGAAACTTTAGGGGGGCTATATATGAAGCAAGAAATATAACCCTTGGTTATATCCTGAACCTTTTTTGCTAAGAGTGTGTAGTGGATACACGTGCATGTAGGTGTAAACTAAAGACCAGCAATACTGTTACAGCACAAGAACAATAGGGACAGGACTATTTCTGGAGGTCTGTTGACTGCGTCAAAGCCTTCGTTTTCTGTATCACTCTCCATTCTGTGATCTCCCTATCGCGTTTCCCTTTCTCGATTAAATGGGCTCACCCATGACAACTGGCTCTGCACACTTAATAATGAGCCCTGCCCACCGTTCTATTGTCTGCTCGTGAGCAGCAGAAAACATGACTGGCGGCTTGTGAAAAAGGTAGGCCACACACCCACGCGATTATGGATTGGTTGGAGTCCAACTGAAATCTACTAGTTGAGTTTAAAGATAGCCAGGAATAATATTGACCCACCGTCCATTAGCCTATCTAACCAAACAAAGTGGTGAACCGCTCTGGAGACCACCACTAGGGTGATTATGACATGCATGGATAAACAAATCACGGCCACTAAAACATTATCGAATGTTGAGCAAATATTCCACTTGACAAAAAATAAGGCATACGCTATTCATGTTCAAAAACTGCTTATACACATACTGACACATTGCAACAGAGCTTTACCTGTACAATTCGTGTAAACCTCTGTGACCTGCTGTGCTTCTTTCCTAGGCTATTTTGAATACCTGGCTGCTGCTACGAAATACCTAAGATGAGACACCTGGTTGGTTGAAGCTAATGATGAGAATGATGTGCAGCACAAACAGGTGATAAACTCAGTCTAAACAGAATGACACAGTAAAGCTTTACATGAATCTATATAGATATTCACATTTTTGTTCATTAACCCTGTTTCCATATGTCAATAATGTTTTCCTATACTTTTTATAGTATACAATCCCTAAGGAGAGCCGTCTCAGGTGCACATATACACAGGCAATGCAACGGACTCAGCGTCTTGACTGGACCATGTTCCAAAAGAGATTGGTGCAGGTCACTGGCGACGCAGATGACGTTGTGATGTGAAACACGTGGGCTGTGGTGCCCAGAGCTCACATAAACAAAGGCACATTGGCAGACAGGGTAGTCGATGGTTGTATCGCGCGCAGTGCTCTGAGGAAGTCGAATAGATTGCTTGGTATTGTAGGCTGTACTCTCCCTCACGCATTGGAGCTTTTTACAGAATTGAAGAAGACTATCTACATGCTTTATGCATGGATTGACAACCACGTTTCTGATGTGAAAGAAGGTAGGTTGGTTTATTTCAATAAGCGTTATGTTTACTTTAATAAGCGGTTTGTGTCTGAATTTTAGTTGTGAGATCTGGCTTCATAATATTAATTGGGAGGCATCGAAACAGTTTTTCTGTAACAGTTTATTTCTCACGTATTGTGTCATGTTGAGAATTGTTACATTTTACATTGACTGTTCAACGTTACTTTGGAAAGGAGAAGTTGCGAAAGTCATTGATGTCAATGCCGTGGAGGGTGGATGTTCAGCGACAACCTTCAAAATTATTCATTCAAAATGTAATGCTTGTGCATATAACGGGAAACTGCGAAGCAGTGTGTGATTTCAAAGCTCATCTATGCAGTTTTATTATTTAACCTTTATCAATTAGGCTATAGCCTAGGCTATGAGGCTCGCATAAGTAAAAGCATAGTGAAAATGTCGGGATATTGTGCTTAATTGCCTAACTTGTTTCTCATGGATTCTTGGAATATACATTGACTTCTCTGATGGCATTGCGTTTTCTAAATGAATATAAGTAAAAGTGATTATTTCTTTAGGGGAAGATTCCAGAAAAGAGACGCTTTCTTGAATCCTGACCCCATAGACCTCCACACAACATTATCCATTTCAAGTGTCATCGAAAAACAGTGCCAAGACGAAAGGTATGAGAGCTTATTCTACAGTATATAATAAAGAATGATTATGAATAAATCCCATGTATTCCGAAATTGTCCCGTTTAAAACAATGCGATTGAAATAAGTTATCTGAACATAAGATCAGATCCGCATCAAAATGGTTTCTAATTATTGTAACTTTGTAGATGATATGGCATGTCTATAGTTTGTAGCTTGTAAATTGATTTTAACATCAACATTTTGTCACTTTCGTTTTCAGCCATGCCCTGCGTTCAGGCTCAGTATGGGTCATCACCGCAAGGAGCCAGCCCCGCTTCGCAGAGCTACAGCTACCACACCGCTGGAGAATACAACTGCGACTTCTTAACACCTGAGTTTGTTAAGTTTAGTATGGACCTGACCAACACTGAGATCACAGCTACTACTTCTCTCCCTAGTTTCAGCACATTCATTGACAACTATAGCACCAGCTACGACGTTAAACCGCCCTGTCTATATCAAATGCCCCATTCTGGAGAGCAGTCCTCCATCAAAGTCGAGGACATCCAGATGCACAACTATCATCAGCAGAGCCATTTGCCACCTCAGTCGGAAGAGATGATGGCCCACTCCGGCTCAATTTACTTCAAACCCTCCTCACCTCACGCCCCTACCACACCAAACTTCCAGGTTCAGCCAAATCACATGTGGGAGGACCCTGGGTCCCTCCACAGTTTCCACCAGAACTATGTGGCAGCGACCTCTCATATGATAGACCAGCGCAAAAACCCGGTGTCAAGGCTGTCACTATTTTCCTTCAAACAGTCCCCTCCTGGTACCCCTGTGTCGAGTTGCCAGATGCGATTCGATGGTTCACTGCACGTCTCCATGAACCACGACAACCCAGGGGCACACCGAGGCTTAGACAGCCAGAGCTTCGCGGTACCCAGTGCTCTAAGGAAACAGGCTGGCTTAGCCTTCCCTCACTCCCTTCAGCTCGGCCATGGACACCAGTTGATGGACAGCCAAGTTCATTCGCCCCCGTCCCGAGGATCACCGTCAAACGAGGGTCTGTGCGCAGTGTGTGGGGACAACGCTGCTTGCCAGCATTATGGAGTGAGAACCTGCGAGGGTTGCAAAGGATTTTTTAAGGTATGCTTTTGTTGATTGTGAATTATGCAATTCAATTATTACAAATATTAATTGTATTATTGTTAGGCCTGTTGTTTTTTGTCAGACAATTGTCATATTGTTATTTTAATATTCCCCTTATAATTGGTGGTGGGACTAGGCCTAGTAAACAATTATGCTTAGTAAACAATTATGACAATTGTTATAACATTTGGATATAATTTTCATAAAGTCATTAAAAACTCTCAGTGTTGTGAGCTCTTTTTGTGATATGACAGTCTTGTCTGGAGTAGGAAGTGTCACAATATTCCAGATGGTAAAATTGAATGGTCACTTTATTTCGAACCCCGGTTCAATAGCCTCATCTTACCTCTATAAATAGAGGTGGTCTCAGAGGGCCGTAAAAATATGAATGCCCACGGATTTGTATTTACTGAATGTCTACCTCTTCGGTTCCTCGCATATATAACAGCCCAAAACTGGAAGGATGAATGTGCTGTTACAATATCAATCATCCTATATAGCGCAGCTCAATGAGTGCCATCTTTGTATTCATTGTACAGGCGCTGATGTCCATGCTAAAAGCCTGTTGTCTTCACCTTTGCAGCGCACTGTTCAGAAAAATGCCAAATACGTGTGTTTAGCGAACAAAAACTGTCCGGTCGATAAACGCCGAAGAAACCGTTGCCAATACTGCCGTTTCCAGAAGTGCATGGTTGTCGGAATGGTGAAAGAGGGTAAGGACATATTGTGGTCACTTTGATTGTTCGTGTCCGTGCATGGCCATAAAACACCTGCGGTCCTGCGCATAAAGTTTGCGTGTAAAGCAAGTTGAACCTTTACGCACAACAATCAAAGTTAAATACAAGTCTATATTTTCTCTTGTCTTCCTTTCAACACAGTTGTCCGGACTGCTAATCTAAAGGGTCGAAGGGGCCGTCTTCCCTCCAAACCTAAAAGTCCCCAAGACCCCTCACCACCCTCGCCGCCTGTCAGTCTCATAAGTGCCCTTGTTCGGTCCCATGTCGATTCCAACCCGTCCATGTCTGGCTTGGACTATTCAAGGGTGAGTTTACCATTTAATTCCCTTTAAGAAATTGTGTATGAACATAAACACTGTGTTGCTGATTTATAGTGTAATTAGAGTGAAAATACAACGTTTGTACAAACCATGTCTGAATGTATTTGATCATGTTTGGATGTGCATTTGTCACACAATTTATGGACTTCAAAAGTTTTGTGCAAGACAGGTCTGGATTCTAAACTTTGTCAGTCTTTTAAGGTGGCATATTTTACCTAAGTAAATCGCTTTGAAACGGAGAACTCAATAAAAAGAAGACATTAATTTAATAGTAAGAAAGCACTCCCCTCCTAGAAATAGGCTTTGCAATTTCACGGGTTATATATTTTAAAGGACCTCATTAAGCCCTGTTGAAATTAAATTCCAGTTTCAGTCTAACCCTGACTACCAAATGACTGGAGACGACACCCAGCACATCCAGCAGTTCTATGATCTCCTGACGGGTTCCATGGAGATTATCCGAGGTTGGGCTGAGAAGATCCCTGGGTTTTCTGATCTTCTGAAGCAGGATCAAGATCTCCTCTTCGAATCAGCCTTCCTGGAACTTTTTGTTCTGCGGCTGGCATACAGGTAAGCCTCTTCCTCTTCGTAATTATGAAATAACCTCGACTATAATTAAGATCAGCCCCCTTCAAGCTCCGTTGCTTTGGCTTTTATTAGCTCCCCAATAATTAGGAGCCTCTTAAATCCCCATTTATTGCGCAAAGTAATTAATGACACTTTGTTATTAATTGCAGGTCCAACCCAGTGGAAGGCAAACTCATTTTTTGCAACGGGGTGGTCTTGCACAGGCTGCAGTGCGTCCGAGGATTTGGGGAATGGATAGACTCGATTGTGGAGTTCTCCTCTAACCTGCAAAGCATGAACATCGACATATCAGCATTCTCCTGCATCGCCGCTCTTGCCATGGTAACAGGTGCGCAGATATATGATATACTTCAATTTAATAATTCTCCCAAATGTTAGACTGTTTAAATGCATTTCTTATATTCACATTTAGGTAATTATGTTGTATTATTTTCATATTACAGAGAGGCATGGGCTTAAGGAACCCAAGAGGGTTGAAGAACTTCAAAACAAGATAGTGAACTGCCTCAAAGACCAAGTGACATTCAATGGCGGAGGCTTGAATCGTCCGAACTACTTGTCAAAACTTTTGGGAAAGCTCCCTGAACTTCGCACGCTATGTACACAAGGTCTGCAGCGTATCTTCTACTTAAAACTCGAAGACTTGGTTCCTCCGCCAGCAATAATTGACAAACTTTTCCTCGACACTCTACCTTTTTAAATGGACTTTAAAACGGACTTTTAATGAGACCTCAAAGAACTTCCACAGACTCTGTTTGAGTCAGCCTAACACATTTTTAAGATTTTATCTCTGAATATTTCCAAGCTCCCTAGTACAATCCCCTAAATTCTGATCAAGGATCCATGAAATGGATACAAAGAAGAGTGAGAAAATTGGTCTCAGAAAACCCGCTGATGTTCGATTTTTTTAAATAGGTCTAATCCCCAGTATAGCCATTCGGGGAAAAGTCTCCAAGGCTTCACTTGACTTAATGTGGCCAATTCTCGACCAAGTTAAAAACTTTCTTGCAACTCTTAGCCTATTCCTTATTGTTGACCAAACATCTGCTCCATTGATAACGCATACTAATATGTAATATATTTCATTTATATATATGCACATATATGATAGATTATGTGATGCGTCCAATGCGTCTATTTATAACACGTGTAAAAAGTTCGTTAATGACACAATTTCATTTTTCTTTTATGACTTGTGCCTATATGTGTTTCTGTCAGGATCCCAGAGGTATGAAAGTATTTCGAAAAGACAACGCATGTTGTAGGTTTTATAGGCACTTGCTGTCGAGGAGATGTCTATATTATATACCGGACACTATGTAGTCTGCTAGATTTTATAAAGATTCGTAGTACTGGCACACCTTTTATGTATGACGCATATGTGAAAAAGTATCTCCATCTGTATAGATAAAGAGGGACCCATGGTGTTTGTAAAACTGTCAGACATTCCTTGTTTGTATGTGTTGTAAGTATTGTTGCTGTTGAATATAAACGTTTCTATATTTATTATTTGATTGCCAAAAGCTACATTAAGCATGGAGCAGTTTAAATGATTTCAAACCATCATAATTCATGCTGAGCACGTTGTCTATGTTTTATGTCTTATAGACGTCTAGATAGTTATAATTTCACACATTTGAAAATGAACAATTGGTCCTATATAAAATATAAATAAGTGTGCGGTACATCCTTTGCCTTCATGGTGTATTTGAGTAGGCTATTGCAATGCATTCGGTGCCGAATTCCAAACGTTTAGAGAGAAAGAGATATTTAATGTTTACAAATAAAACTTTTAAATCATTTTTCTTGCGAAACAGTTTCTCATAACTGATTTTTCTTGACAAATAGTCTATAGGTGCATCTAATGCAATGATTTAATTCAAAATTAATTGAGTGAATTATTGCTTTCCTGTAAATATAGTGTACATTCTCGGTATGTCTTATGGAATATTTTGTTTGTTTGTTCAAGCTAAGCAGAAATAAGGTGTTACTAATTAGGCTGTGATTACAGTGAATGTTTGATTACAGTGAAATAACGTACAATTTACATTAATGCAAAAAATCGTTTATCAAAAATAGTTCACCCTCAGTAATTGGCATGAATGCTTGAAAGGTATATGGTTCATGCTAGTGTTTCATTGTGGTAGGAGATGTATGATTCAATGTATTTGGTATTTATTTGCAAGAAAGAGGGGAACACATTAGCAGTTTGCTAAAAGAAGTCGGAACAGTCTTGGACTCAAAATAATTGGACAAAACGTTTAATTACATTGTTCATTAATTTCTCAAATGGTGACTGCGTAATTTGTAGCCTATAATCCTACATAACCAAAATACATGTTCAACAAGTATTGGGGACATTGACATTTCAAGAGAAGTGGCATGTTGACATTGCGTCCATAAGGTCCATAGCCTACTTTTAAATTAATAGAATAAGTGACAGCCGAGAACTTAACAAAATGAGATTTCCCTGTCTTTATGTAAGCAATCACTTACAATTTGGAACATGAAAGGATACGCCAGAAGGACGAGGCTGCTATCAAACCAAATAAGTAAAACAGTCCCAAAACAGTTGGATGGACACGGTACATTTTGTATAATTTCTAACAGCTTTTGATATTTGATAACCAACAGTAGGCTATCTGTCAAAAAACATAGTCATCCTAAATCTGATTTATCCTGGACAAAATAATGGACAATATAATTGATCAAATTTAGGAGCTTTCTTGGAACGAAATTAACAGACAAACAGGAGTAATTCAAGTTTTGAAAGGTGTATTAGGGTATCTACTTTGGATTTATAGCGCATATGATTTAGTAAAATAACTAAATAAAGTATCCTTATTTCAATTTAATCAGTCTCATTAATTTGAAGATAAACTATGACTGGCCTATATAATTACTGAAACATTTTAGTTTAAGCTATAGTAGACTATTGCTTACTTGATGTCAGAGGCGCGTAAATGAGTTATTACTTATGCATTGAAATAGGTCTGTCATTTTTTAACTTAAGTTGTTTTGTCAGTTCCAAAGGTGTGCAAACAAACTTCAGAGCAGTAGCCCATGTCGGTGGGCTATAGCCTATATACCAAACAAGAAAACTGCTAAAATTGAAAAGTGATAGCATCAAGTTAATTCATTAGGGCATTACTCTGAACAATATGAACGCTGTTTGTGCTCAGTACCATGAGTTGTATCATAGAGCACCTTTACGGCCAACTAACATTTGCTCGTAGCTACATACTGTATGGGGTGAGTAAAGGCTCGTATCCCTCTGCTGATAGGGGATATGGATCTAGACCTAGCCAAATAAATTACGAAGATGAGTTTAATCTCTATAGTTTTGCCTGTTGTCTCGATTTGTTGCAAAATCAGCCCCAATTGGTATAGGGAAACTTCAATAGGGCAGATATTTGGGGTTTATGTCGTTCTGACTACTTAAATAGATATTGGACTATGATCAACTAATGTATTAATCTGTCATCTCCAAATCTCAGAAAGGACCTACAAAGGTGTCATATAGCCTATTCTAATCGTTTAATATCACTTTGAATCTATGTAATGAGCGTTTTTCAATTGGCCATGTCTTGTGATATCAGATGGATATTTGATATCAGGCAAATGCATTTCTCATCAAGTAAATATGTCTTACTGTATGTAATAATATTCCCCGCAGGGAATTGAACTGTTAATTCTTGACCGCTGCGGTATCCTATTTCGAAGACTTCACAGGTTTTTCTTTATTCTGTCTCAAAGCCACAAACACAGCACAGGACCGACCACACGTTGCACTAAACCCGTCTTTTTCATATTTGCAATTATTTATTGTTTGCACATGAACGCACTGGATTATATATACCTTCATACATAGGCCTACACATAGCCTATACATTGTCACATAAAAGTAGTTGAGATCGTGTTCACCATTGTAACGCTACATTACGGATGCAATTAAGAAACCACTGGCAAAAACCCAAACAGGCAATTTAACTATACTGTCATTGCTGGTCACATCACTCTCTTCTAAAAGAAAAGTGATGTGAGGCTCTAAGGCGATGTCTGGGTCTTATCCACAATGATACAATATTTATCACATGATCAACATGGCAGCAGTATAGCTCCTCTTGAAAGTTCTTAGCAGAAGGCTATAAATTGTCTAAATAATTAGATCTTTACTGCAAAGTGCTAATTCCAAGTCTAATTGTGATTACATTCAGAACCGGTTTGGTGACATTTAACAGATCGGCTGAAAAGGGTGCTTGCCATGTCTCAAGTTCATTTCTGTTGACGCCAACTGCCGTTTGGTTGGGAGATGTCTTTCTCTGCGCAATGAAATATGATATTTGTATGTGGCAAAACACTTTTGACAGTGGCTGTGCATGAATGCATATGTAACTCCCATTTAGCTTAATTACCAGCATACTTAACATCAATACAAGGTTTTGACTGTACATTCTTACTGAAAAACGCTATACATTGATTGTGTAATCCAATATGATTTATCATCATGTGGTCTCAATATTAAGCTTATAGCATTATAGCACCTTTACAGGGTTATGCAAGTGCATGGTCTGTAAAGGGAAGAAAGAGAAAGTGCCAGAAATAGCATGGTCTCCATAAGAGATGGAACAGATCCCAAATGTCCTCTGCTAAGTGCTTGCACTGGCACTGAAAAAGCCTCTAAATTATAAGGGTACATCTCATCCTCTGAGAGTGCTGCTAGTTCACTGGGCTACTGTTATTCCTGCAGACCTATGCCAGTTAAATGCTGTTTTTTTTCCTTCTTCCATGTATTCCCTCATCCTCCCACAATTTATTCAGTGTCCTTGACCAGAATGTGCTGCAACACAGGTGAAATGCTATCATGTAATAGTCAAAAACCTCACCTGATCATGAATTATATATTTTGAAAATCTATACAGTTTTACAGAAATTAGACTAACCTGTCTTATAAAATCTAGAACAGACATTATCTTAACTTTTATGACATCATACAGTATAATCTATTTCCCCCAGGAAGTATTACGCCTCTGCTGCCAATAACTAACATTAGATGATGTTAGAAAATATGCCAATAGAATGTTGTTATGATGTTCTGCTTGGCTTATGGACGTCTGGTATTTTGGTTTGGTTTAGTCACACGAATCCTTCCTGCAAAGCAAAATACTTATAAGGACTAAATGTGGATTTGGATAAGGCAGTTTTATGAAGTACCACAATGAGTGTATTTTGGTCTCTTATTTATGTGACAAGACCAATATATAGATTTCAAATTTTAATTTGACAAAATAAGAGCTCCACTTGACCAAGTAAGTGTTCTAAACAACCCTTGTCAAGACTCATTCTCAACCTTTGACCTTTGGTGACCTTGAGAAAAGATGTGGGTCAAGGGCCTGCTCTTGACTGTGAGTGAGCTGAGTTAGGAGAACAAGGCCAGGCAGTCTCTTTACTTCATAGCACTTCAGAACACTTCATAACACTTCATAACACTTTATAACACTTTATAACACTTCATAGCACTTCATAACACTTCATAGCACTTCATAACACTTCACAACACTTCATAACACTTTATAACACTTCATAGCACTTCATAACACTTCATAGCACTTCATAGCACTTCATGTTCTTCTTATGTTTTTCCATGTCACACTTCCCTTCAGCTCTCGACTCTAGCCAACAGACTCTACGGTCTACTTA